CGGACCTCCGGCGCCGGCGGCCGAACCGGTGCTCTGTCCCGAGCAGGCAGAACTTGTGGACCTCATCATGAGCGGCCGCAATGTCTTCTACACGGGGTCTGCGGGATGCGGCAAGTCGACCGTCCTGAAGGCCTTCGTGTCCCGCTTACGGTCCAAGGGCAAGCGGGTGCACATCGTCGCCCCGACCGGCCGTGCCGCCCTGCAGGTCAACGGCAGCACGACGTGGCTGTACGCAGGCTGGACGCCCGACTCCCACCGGAGGCCGCTGGACGAGCTGCGTTCCAGGGCCCACGGCAAGTTCGTCTGGAAGCGACTTGACGGCACTGACGTGCTGGTCATCGACGAGATCAGCATGGTTGAGAATCTGCATCTGGAGCGGCTGAACGAGGTGCTGAAGGAGGCGCGTCGCCAACCGCACGCGACTTCCGACCCAGCTTTCGGTGGCATACAGATGGTAGTCACAGGCGATTTTTGCCAGCTGCCGCCCGTCAAGCCCTTCCAGCATTGCATGTACTGCGGCAAGGAGATGACGCAGAAACTGGCCTACGGCGAGATGACGTACACCTGCGCGCGGCACGGCTCGTACCGCGATGGTCAGAAGTGGGCGTTCGCCAGCAAGGCGTGGGCCGAGGCCGACTTTGTCCACGTGCAGTTGCGCAGCGTGCATCGGCAGAAAGACGCCGCCTTCATCGGCATGCTCCAGAAGTGCCGCGTCGGCAACCCGCTCACGGACGACGAGATGACCACTCTCATGTCGCATCCATGTCGGGTGCACAACGCCACTCGGCTCTTTGCCACGCGTGACGAGGTCGCCCGCGTCAACGCCGAGGCCTACGCGCGCCTCAGGTCCCAGAGCCACGACTACTGGGCCCGCGACACCTTCATCCAGCAGCCGCGGCACCCGCACCTGGAGTCGAAGAAGATTTGCCACCCCAAGGGCCCCGCCGGCGTCCAGCCGCTGCGCGCCCTCGACGACCACCGCTTCCACGACCGTCTGCAACTCAAGAAAGGCATGCTGGTCGTGTTGCTGACGAACCTGGACCTGGACGCGGGCCTGTGCAACGGGTCGCAGGGGCTGGTGGCCGACTTCGAGGACTACGCGCCGCAGAACATGCCGCGGGCCAAGATGGGCCGGGACGCGGAGCCGCGCAACCGCATCTTCGGCGACCGCGCGCCCCTCCGGCAGGCCGAGATCGCGGCCTTCTTCCAGAAGCCCGGGGCGGCAATCCGCCGGTGGCCGGTGGTGCGCTTCCACAACGGCGCGGTGCGCACCATCTACGCCGACTGCTCGGTGGCGGAGCTCGGCGACGATGGCCCCCCGTCGCTGCTGTGCCGGACGCAGATCCCACTCGCGCCCGCCTGGGCCATGACGGTCCACAAGAGCCAGAGCCTGACGCTCGACCGCGTCGTCGTCGACCTCAGCCGCGCCTTCGAGGAGGGCCAGGTCTACGTCGCGCTGTCGCGCGCCACGGGGCTCGAGGGGCTGCGCGTCGACGGCGGCTCGATCGCGGGGCTGCGCGGCGGGCTCGCCTGCAACAGGGAGGTCCAGCGCTTCCTGAGGGAGAAGTTCGGCGACGTGTGATGGTGAGGTGAGGGTCGGTCAGGGGGTGGCGGAGGGGACGGGAGGGCCGTAGCTCGTTCCCCGCCGCATCGTCGTCTTGTATAGTTAAGTTACTGGCGCAGATGGATGGATTGATGGATGGGGGCCATGTGCTCGTGGGATTGTTTGATACCCGCCGAGTCTGGATGCCGATGAGAGGTCTTATATATACTCTCTTGTATGTATCTTCTTGTAAACATGAACACTTGACATACCGTCGCTTCTTTTAGCTTTGGCTCTTCGGACAGAGAGAAAGGGGGGTGGATTCAAAACGATATCAGCTCTCACAGCTTGAGACTCGCCGGCACTCGCATGCTCAAGGAACACCGGACGCTAGATCGAGAGGCACTTGCGCATCGCTTGAACTCCAGAATAAGATACTCTTTCCAATCCGGCTCAGACGCGGACGATCCAGGGGACCATAAGCTTAGGGGCGCCCTCGAGGGCGCCGCAGTTACTGAATAGAAGTCGGCGTGGGTAAGGAAATAAACACCTAACCTGTTTCCCCAAATCTGCCGTGTACCATTCAGCCGCCTTATGAAGAATCTGTGCCGCCCTAGAAGCTCCATGGCAGAGATTACGGCGCCGTAGTACGCACCTATCTAGGTTGATTCACTGCTGAACAGAATCGCGTAAGACGTCTGCGAGCACCGCATACTTACTTTCCATCCCGGATGCCAAGTTACTTCCTTTTGATACTCTACTTATAGCGTGTCTCCTTATTTGACATGTCCTAGTCCGGTATCAACTGGCCTCAGGCTGGCCTCAGGCTGGCCAATATTGCGTTACTTCTCGTCCCGCCTTCGCTTTCCGCTGCTCTGCTTCTAAGGTCACCAGGCGAGCTGAGATCTAAATGCATCTGACTCATCGCCCAGGCACATGCGGAGAGAGTATCATTATGGGTCAAACCCAGGGAAGGAAGACGCTGATTGCCACTTCCGAAAAAGCCTTTTAAGTACAATCAACCGAATCTTGAAGGGTATGATAGGTTACTCTTCCCATATCGTAGGCCTAACAACACATCATAGGCCTAAGAATCAAGGCAATGTTATGTTGCAATACTTGGCCTCGGTCATTGCCCAAGGAGCTCGCATACTTCCTCCACCTTGGCGAGACAAGAAAAACCGCGACATCCTCCGATTCCGGGCCAGGCCTCGAAGAATTCGATCGTAGGAGTCCAGGCCTCTTGGCATAACTCGTAGTCGTCGGGAAGGTTGCCAGGTTCTTGCCGAGGGACAGAGCCGATAGCTCAGGATTTACGATGGGATAGAATACCCCTCGGTGGAACCCCCCTTGGGCCTTGATCTTGTGAGCGATGGGTTGGCTCCCAGCCGCTTGGCGTGCCGACAGTTGCGCCGGGCTCCTCTCTTCGGCACCGCAGAGATGATGATAGGGAACAGTCGGCCGCCGGCCATGGAGTTGTTTCTGTGCGGAGGCTCTGGCCAATAATAGGGGTCGAAAAGGGGGAACTCACGAAGCATTGGCCATGACTCATCCCTACCTGTTCTTCCCGAGAAGATGTCTCGGAACGGGCGATACCCCGGAAAAGGGAAACGGCCGACTCCCAACGCAACCCGGCACAACGTGCCAAGTCGCAGATGCTCTATTCCGATGTCAATCTACATGCCCAATTTCAGTCTTCATCGACATGTCATGATTCGTCCAGATTACGGCAGTAAACACTCTTGCTGTCACCAAAGCATACAAGACAACTAACTATGGTAGTTATAAAGTGAGTAAAGCAATACGATCATATAGAGTTATCATACGCACTTTACTACTGTTACGGGTAGTACATCAAGTACCTACAGTTACCGGTAAAGTGATCAAACTAGCATCATTGAATACCTAAGTACAGATAACCGCACAACAGTACAAGAATGGACGGCTCATCAGAACCAGCCCGTGGCTTTCAGTGGTTTCCCCATACACTCCCAGGGACCCGGTCAGTCGGTCGATCCCGCGGCGCCCGACTCTTCTCACCCCGGTCGTGGCGTCGCGTCCCGCAGTTCTGGGCCCCGCGCCGGACGGGAGGCCGCGCACGCGGCATCCATGTTCCCCTCCCGCCTGCATGCATGCATGCATGTGCGTGAAACGACGGACAGCGGTCCGTACCGGCTGACTGCAGAAACCACCCGACGAACCAACCCTCTGGACCAACCAGGCTGCACGTGTGACACACGATAATTATCGCAAACCTGGTCGCCGATGGGCGGCGTCACCTGTTTCGTTTCCCCCTCGCAAATTCTGGCCAGGCCATGGAGTCCACAAGCTGATAGATACGCCAAGTTGACTGTTTATTGCTCCCACACGCCGTCGCTTCTGGCGGCAACTGTGCCCCTTACGAACTCGGGCTCCCACCCGGCCGGGAGACACGGTCATTCGGGAAGCGGGGGGCAAAGGGGGCACGATCGCTCGGAATGAACCCCCGGCGCGCGTTCCCATTACCATGGATTCGTGGTCCCCGAGGACCGTTTTCCCGGTCCCGACTCCCGCCTCCCGAGCCTTTACCAAGATGCGCGTTGCCTTGAGGAGTGCGTTGCTTTGTGGGGTTTGATTGCGCCCCAGTTACGGAGTACCGCATTTGTCCCGTCCTTGAGCCGGGCACCTGCATTTATGGCTCGAAGCCACGCGCCCAGAAAGCCCCGCGGCATGGATACTCGACTTGGTGGCTAAGTCAGCTGAAGTTACCCCTCTGCCCGGTGTTTTCCGTCCATGAACTATGCCAAGGGGCTGTGAGTAACGTTACCAGCCAGCTATCGGTTCTTAGGAGTCTGCGGCGTGATGGAGAGCAATTTCACAATGCAGATAACTCGACTGCCAGGTTGTCGACGTGGCCGTTTCAGACACTCCAATGGAATTAGAGGAGGACTGAAGTGGCTTTCCTTCGGGGAGAGCACCTTGATTGGTGCTTGGTGCATTACCCTGAAGGTTGTTCATTATTTCCGAGAGGCCCCTGGTCGTACCCCAGACTCGTACTTTTTTTGGAGTTATATGTTTCGGTGCTATCGCCCATCCCTGCACATTAAAAGGTTTCCTTATGTTGTGGCGCGCGGGGAATGACGACTTGCTCTCAAAGAAGAGCTTGAACTTCACGCCAAGTCTTCATCAAGCGTACATGTATGAACAACACCACAAGTGGACTCTCTTTTTTTTCTAAATGGAATCTTTTGCACAATTTCTCTAACGAACGCACACAGCCTCCGCACAGCGACTGATGAAACACAGAAACAATTCAATGCAACTCCTTGCTGGCCTACGTACGACCTTGGCGCGGGGCTTTCTGAGCGATGCCGGAGCAAAAATTTTGGCGTTAATGAGAATCGAACTCATGTCTGCACGGCCACAACGTGCCGTACTAACCACTATACTATAACACCTGATGGAAAGTTGCAACTGCTAGTCTCATCGAGGTTCGAACTCGAGACCTTGTCGGTGTGAACGACACGTCATAACCAACTAGACCATGAGACTCGTCCTTGCTGGATGTTTGTGTTGCAGTTAATTGGGATCAAGTGGCTTGTCGTCTGACAATTTTTCTCCAATTGGATCCTGATCAGCCCCATCTCGAGACCCCATAGGTAGGTACTAGTCGGCCTCGGCCCGAAAGGGCGGGAAGGCTTGAAAAGGTGCTTATTAGTATCCCGGTTGAAAACAAAGTTCAACTCAACTCAGGGGAAGATGCTCTTCGTCCTGCTTCTCTGCTGCGGTGAGCCACGCTGCTTGCGTCTTGTTCTGTTTCAACTCGATTGAAGTCCTTTCGCATGATAGAAAATGTGCCCAAAATAAGCGGGATCGGCGTCGGCCCCACACGCCGCGTAACTTGTCAACGGCCTGTGCTTGTCGTCAACGGCCTCTGCGGGTTGCTTGCTTGCTTGCCGATGACAGGTACGAGCTAGAGGGTTCAAGGGTGTTGGCCGCCAGTCGGGTTGCAGTCATTGCGCGTGTCTCTCTCGTAAGATCATGCCGAAGTTGGAGCTTCCCCTGCCGCTTGCAATAAGGCGGTGCCACTTCTCCAAGCATGCCCTGCTTGCGCACAGCCGCCGGAGCCGCCGGCATTACGCCGCGTGGGCACCATGTGGGTGCGTCTTCGGTAGTGACGAGCGGACGAAAGAACAAGCCTGAACAAGCTGTATGGGGTCAACCCGTTGCAAGGATTACGTGTTGTCTTACACCTTGGCAACACGCGGCACCGCCAGCGTTGACGACTGGTTGCCAACTCAGCCACAGGTACGGGTATCTCCAGAGTCCAGCCTCCATCGCAATACCGTGAGCACCCAATGCCGTGGATCCGTACGGAGTAAACACTTATTATAAAGATGGATGGCAAGCTCTCCAGGTTCCCGGAAAGAATGATATCGACATCCCACCGCGGTACTGCTTCTCAAGCTTCCTGACACTCTTTTCTCCCATACACTCTTTAGTATCAACAACACCATTCTTTCCAGAATTGCCTATACAGGTCAGTACCGCTCACAGTTGATCCAAGATGGCTGCCAAAGCTGCCTCGGTACTGTTCCTGGCCTCTGCCGCTCTGGCAAGCCCGATCCATCAGCGGAACGCGTCTACCTGTACCTCGCCCGTTCAGCGCAAGAACTATACCAGCCTGTCGAACGACGAGAAGCTGGCATGGATCAAGGCTGAGCAATGCCTCACAACCCACGATGCCGTTTTTGGCCTGTTTGATGCCGCCACCACTCTCTGGGATGAGCAGCAGTTGTGAGTAAGCCCGCGCCTGGCTCACTATGATGTTTCGTACTCGGACCTTCTGTCATCTACGGTCATGGAAATAAGCTTTTGTTTAAGCTATGCTGTTTGGAAGATTCCGAACAAAGCACACAACCATATAAGCTTCTGATCTGTCTTGGCCGCGGACTAACACCAAACATAGCAACCATCTCACCCAGTCCAACTTCATCCACGGTGTGGGCCAGTTCCTGCCATGGCACCGCTACTACATGACCCTGCACGAGAAGCTGCTGCAGACGTACTGCGGGTACGAGGGTGGCAGTGAGTTCAACTCCCCATGCAAGCCCCTCTTCTCTGACGAGCCTTGACTGACCGAGAACCTCCCCGCGCCAGTGCCCTACTGGGACGAGCAGGCCGACGCCGAGAACATCACGCAGTCGGCCATCTGGGACGACGTGTACGGCATCGGCGGCGACGGCGCCAGCAACAACAGCAACATCGTGACGTCGGGCCCGTTCGCCTACATGGAGCTGCACGTCGGCGCCAACGCGGACAACAGCGTGGTCCCCAAGGACGCCGGCACCTACTACCTCAACCGCAGCATTAGCGTGACAACCTTCCAGAACGCCGAGCAGCAGTACGTCGACGAGTGCCTCGCCATCGACAACTACACCGACGTCTGGTCCTGCTACGGCCAGAGCCCGCACTCGGCCGGGCACGCCGGCACCGGCGGCACCGTGAGTTCCTCTCTCCACCCAACTATTCTCTCACCCCCAACACACACTGGTTAGCTCAAATACATGTACTTACCAACCACGCGCACATCTAGATGCAAGACCCGGTCCTGTCGCCCGGCGACCCCGTCTTCTTCCTGCACCACACCAACCTGGACCGGCTGTGGTGGCAGTGGCAGTCGGCCAACCTGACGGCGCGCCTGACCGACATGGGCGGCAACAACGTGCCGAGCGACGAGTTCAACGCGGCCAACAACTGGGACGCCCCCGGCGCCAACTGGACCGACTACTCGGGCGACCCGGGCAACGTCACCACCCTCGACCACGTGCTGACCATGTTCGGCATGCTGCCCAACGTCACCGTCGGCGACGTCATGGACATCGGCGGCGACGTCATCTGCGCCGAGTACGTCTAGAGGGGGCGCGAGAGGGAGGGAGAGGAGACAGAGGGTGACGATTCGTCTGGGATTCGGGACACGATGAATGAAAGCTTTCGCGTTTGACTTGACCCCGCGGTAAGATGTCGCGCAGGAATCGGCCCGGGGGCCTTCGTTTTGATCTGGGTTTCTCTGTATATATTAACCTATATCCACATTGCTATGAGAAAAGTGCTATGTCAAATGTTCTATCCAATCACGTTGCAGCCCATCAGCGGTCATTCGTGTCAATGAAACGAACGATGATATAGAATATGCCACTCGAGAGCCACTATCAGTGAAGAATCCCTTCTGATACCCTAACCAGGCCTCATTCATAAAGACGGAATTCGTTATACACCTATTCCCTAATCTGTTCTGCTCCAACCCCTATTATGCAACGCTGTTCCACTTGCCATGAAACAGAGTCGGGCAAGGATGGATAACTACCACGTACGACAAATGGAAACAACAAAGCAAACAGCTAAAGTTATAATGAATCAAGAGGGGCTGAGCGTCTGGTCGTTCGGTTGCATTGCATCCTATTGCGCCTACTCAACAGGGCTCCTGACATCTGAGCTACACAAAAAGACAATTCGAGGCAAACCACCAAGACACGGTGGACTGGACAGCAAAAGGATGATTTCGCCCGGACTTGAACCGGAGACCTTCAGTGTGTTAGACTGACGTGATAACCAACTACACCACGAAACCAGTGGATCTTGGAACAGACCAAGCATCACGTGATGTGATGGAAGCATTGAACTGCTACAATAGAATATTACCCCTAATTCATGTTGCAGTAATTTGCAGGGTGCAAGATTGAAAATAGCGATGGGGCGGGAAAAAAGGGGCAAGAAGACTAGCGTGGCCGGATTATCTACGGTTGGAAATTTATTATCGCACAATGATCAAAGTGGCCTCCAACAAACCGGTGATAGCTACCAGTGGTAGGTACCCCCAGAAAACACACCTCGCATCGGATCAGTTCGAGGTTGCCAAGCATACTTACAGATGCTCCAGCTTGTAGAAGCATCGACATCGAGGCGGCCCATCTGCACCACAAAAGCGTACCTAACTAAGAAGCCTCCTCTCCCGCTCACCACTTCTCCACGTAGGGCCTCAGATCCAGCTCGTGGGTGAAGGCGGACCGGTGCTGGGTGTGCAGGTGCCAGTAGGCCTCGGCGATCTGGGCAGGAGGGTCAGCGTCGGCGTCAACATCCGCAGCAGCAGCAGCAGTTTCCGGACGGGCTACGCCACCGACGGGCTGATCTGGTGTCTGGTCTTCCAACTTACCGCGTCGGCGCTTATCTTGCTGTCGGCCACGCCGTCGTTGACCTCGTAGGCGCGCGTGCGCTCGATGTCGATGACGCCGTCGATGATGGCGTGCGCGACTGCAAGCGGCGAAGAAGACATCGAGTCAGTAAGTTAAGCCAGAGAGCTATTGGCACATCCACCAACCAACCCGCCCGGAAGGCTTGGCCAATCATGCCTCGGGAGCTCCCAGGAATGGCATGTCTGTCAAGCAGACCTCCCCACGGACAGAAAAAGTTCTCCTCTATCTAGCACGGAGCAGAAAGGGGGGAGCGGGTAAACTCCAGACGTTGTGGTGGATAGGTAGTCAAGGATAAAGTTCATCGTCGGACAACTCACCGTGCACGCCTTTGGGCCCGTACTCGCGCGCGGCCGACTGGGCCAGCGCGCGCTTGGCCCACTTGCCCGCGGCGAAGGCGGCGAAGTTGGCCGAGCCCTTGAGCGAGGCCGTCGCGCCCGTGACGATCAGCGTCGGCGGGTGCGGGGACTCGCCGACCGAGGCCTCGAGCAGCGGCAGCGTCTTCTGCGCAAAGTTGAAGAAGCCGCGCCTGCAAAGGTCCACCAAGAATAAAGGGGGTCCCCAGGTCAGCGAGAACCGTACGTAGATGAGTGCCGGTAGGAGAGGAGAGGAGAGTAGGAGAAGAGGAGGTGGAAGAGAAAAAATACGCACGCATCCCCGCTGAGGCCGGCCTCGAGGTCGTCGAGCGAGAGCTCGGCGAAGGGCTTGCGGCTCATGGCGCCGCCGGCGTTGTAGACGGCGGCGGCGAGGCGGTGGCCGGGCAGCAGCTCGCGCGCGACGCGGTCGAAGGCGGCGTCGAGCGAGGCGCGGTCGGCCGCGTCGGCCGCGACGCCCACGGCCCGGCCCCCGGCCTCGTTGATCTCCCGCGCCGCCGCGTCGCTCGTCTGCGCCGACCGCGACAGCACCACCACCGGGTACGCCTTCGCGAAGCGCCGCGCCGCCGCGCGCCCTGTGTTCTCGGGTGGAGGGGAGTCAGTGAGGTTAGTTGGGGCTGGGTGAGTGGGAGGGGGAAGGGGGAGGGGGTGAAGGGAGGGATCCGACGGGACGGGACGGGATGAGACGGGACGGGAACGGAACGGGGCGGGGCAGGGCGGACTAGGTATGGCTGCGTGACAGCGGGGTTGGCCACTCACCTGTGCCGGTGGGCCCGGCGCCGATGACTACTGCGTAGAACTTGGATGCCATGAGGAGATCGTGTATTTGGTCAATGGAAGGGCGAAGTTATGAGTAGTATGCGAGTGGTCTGTTGTTTCTCATGTGATGGTTGGGTTGTGAGTGCTGAGGTCATTACAGGCTTAGATC